TGTGTGTGTGTGTGTGTGTTGTGTGTGTGTGTTGTGTGTGTTTTGAGTTTGTGAGTGTGTTGTGTTTGTGTAAGTGTGTGTTTGTGTGCGTGTAATTGCGTTTGTGGTGTGGTGTGTAAGAGTGTAAATGTGTGTGTGTGTATGTTCGTAAGAGATAGAGAAATATACACGTCTAGAAAAAAAAAGAGTTGGCCAATTTGCATTTTTAGGAGTAGACAAAAACCCCAATTTTACCCTTTTAAATTCCGAACAGATTCCACCGCATCGCACTTCCTCGATGCCCCTCCAGTACTTCCCGTTCTCCCTCGTTGCGAAACAGTATCCAGATGATTCGAATCCAGACGAAGAATTAACAAAAATACTCAAAATCCGACAAATCAATGAATGAAAAATGAAGGCCAATACATCGATTGATAACTCATTATCAATATAACGTTCATAGACCATTATAAATTATATGAAAAACGATTTCTATTCAAATCGTTCGAGATTGAGGATTCGAAGAGGGTTTCGAAATCTTGCGTGTTTACCTTGAACTTCCCGCGCGCTCCCGACGGCGGCGTAGGGGCTTGCGAAACGGAACTCGCGCGCGCGTTGGCGTAACTCTTTCTCTCAATAGATGGCGCTTTTTGTGAGTGCTACGGTGAGGGAAATTCGACCTTGCTGTGTCTCACGTGAGGCTCGATTCTTCGTCTGGTGGTTTATTAGGCGTGGTGTTTGGGAGAATATAGATATATACTCCATCTATCTGTCTCTATCTTTCATGTCTATCTGTATATCTGTCTATTTATCTATCTACTTATCGATGTCTGTATATATGGTATATATGTATGTATTTAGAGAGGAAAGAGAGATACATATGTTTACATAGATATATCTTACCCTCTCTCTCTCTCTCTCTCTCTCTCTCTCTCTCTCTCTCTCTCTCTCTCTCTCTCTCTCTCTCTCTCTCTCTCTCTCTCTCTCTCTCTCTCAAAATGCACACACACACACACACACACACACACACACACACACACACCACACACACACAACACACACTCACACTCACTCACTCACTCACTCACTCACACACACACACACACACACACACACACACACACACACACACACACACACACACACACACACACACACACACAACACATATAATATATATATATATATATATATATATAATATATAATATACATATATTTATGAATATATATATTATATATATATATATATATATAAATACATACACACATATATATGTCTGTATGTGTCATTCTTCAACGTTTTGCAGGAAATCCGAAAGGGAACAGGAAGGGGATATGGGTTATAGTCTTAAATGGAAAAAAAAAAACAGACTGTAGAAAAGATGGAAACAAAAAAAAAAACAGAAAGCGGAATAGATGTAAAACAAAATAAGCAGCAGTTTAGAACACAGAAACAAATTCCTATTTCCGTATTCTGTCACGTCGTTGATCTACAAGACGAAGAAAAAAAACACCTTTCGAGCGTGTTTTTTCCCTTCTTCCTCCATTCGCTGTAAATTATTAGGTTCATATCTTCAGGTCGAAATTCCTATCTTACTATAAGCCTTCGTCGCCCTTACGACCACCGCCTTCTCTCTCTCTCTCCCCCGCGAGAATTGGTCATGTTCCTTATTCTCGAACACACCGGAAGACTCATTCCATTCGTCCTTGTAGAAACTATTGCTAAACCCCCGCAAGATTTTTTTTATACACTATTCGTCAGGTATATAGGCTGTGTCGGATCTAGAAATCATTTAGTTGTCGGTGCTCGGCTCTCCCGCGTAAACCCAGCCGCCGTTCGCGCAAGCCTGGGTCTTCGCATGCGCATTCAGGGGGATTCATAGTTTATACGTCGACTTTTCGCTTGGATTGCGTAGTGTCACGTATATTTTGTTTATTCCCCTCACCTTCGTTTCGACCCCAATTTTCACCACCGTTTCCGTGGCTCATACTAGTTGGCCGTACAAGCGAGTGTTCCCAACCAAAATACGACCGGGGTTTGTGAACAGGTGTACAAGTGTGCCCGAGAGACCTGACGCAACCGACCGCCTTCCCTTCGTCACCCAACTGGCGTTAATTGGCCCATCGGACCCTGTGGACGGCGAAGAACTTACATCAGCAGCGACAAGGGGATCCGAGAACAGGGCGCTGTTTACCCATTCGCCGTAAGAAGATCGTGTAGAGTTTGATTCTGAGGAAAAGCGATCAAAAGGATACAGTTGAGGCGACCTCCCTTTAAGACTCGTAGATTTACTAGAGGGCCGAGAAAGAGACAGTATAAGTAGTAGCTCGCGGGAGGAAAAGTGAGAAGAAAGTGCCAAGAGAAGCGCTCGATAAGACCGCTACATTGCATTTTTTCCCAAGTTGAGCGGAAAAAAGACGCTCATTGTGGCGAGTCCACAGTTATTCGAAGAGTCCTCGATCCTGCCAAGCGTAGAGCATTGAGGAAGGTCTCAGTGCCTCGAGTGAGTGCCAGCGGGAGCTTAAGCATACTCACCGAACTCTTACGCATTCTCTAGCATTTTCTTTCTTCTCTCCGGAGCGTATTTTTCTCATTCTGAGAAGAACAAGGTTCCAATCAACAAAAAGGATTATAAAAAAATAACGAGGCCGCTAACCTATCCTCATTGTTTGAATACCAGCGACGTAAAAAGAAAAAAAAAAACTCACAATCAGCCCCTGAGTGACTCACCGCTAACCGTTGACAGTAGGAAATTACATCGCTGCAGAATAGCAAAAAATATACAATAATTTCCTAATTCGCGTTACTTCGGACCTACTCTCATCGTCTCCGTTACAACGTACCGGATCTGACGTATGAAGTTCACCGGAGGTTCAGACGGTGTGACGTCATAAGATTGCATCATATATCGGGAATTTTAGTGCATTATCGTACACTACGAGAACTCTTCCTTAGCTTGCTGGTATTCAGTTTTTTTCAGCGTCTTCTGAAAATAATCGTATTTACAAAATATAACATACTTTCGAAAGATTAACGATCATTATATAAAAGTTTGTGAGCAACAATCGTACACAAAAGCCTACGGGGAAAGTTCTTCATCTTCCACAAACGTCGGCGATCACGAGGCAAGTGAATGAAATTCCCCGGCATGCTGGTTGTGACGTCATCTTGAAGTCTTTGCTGCGATTGGTCGAGCGGAGGGCTGGGTCGGTGCGCGCCACGCCCCCCCACACATATATAGAGCCGGCGTCTCCGCAGCGCAGCATTGCGGAATTCCCATCCATCCACACTAGGCAAGGTACCTCGGTGTGGCCATCCAAACCATCTCTGCAACTTTACGATAGAAATGGCTCTCCAGACATCTAATCGTCGGCTTCATGCGGGTCAGAACTTTCTTAGTTCATAGCAATACGCCCCCGCAACAGCCTAAAAAGAGTACAAGAAGTTGCTAAACATCATCTACAAGTAGCTTCAGCTTCCAAGCTTTTGTTTACTTTTTTGTAAGTAGAACCGAAAGCAGTGATACCAGTCTTTGCTAGTCACAACTTCATCGTCTACATTGCATCTACCTACATCAGCAACGAGCGAAAGCAATAACTACCCGTCCATAACAAGCATCACAAGAGTACAACTCGAGGCCTTTGTCTGCAGCAGCACAACCGGCACAGCACAAAAGAGACGGTGAGGAAGAAAGAAGAAAAGAAAAAAATCCAATCCAAGATGGTCGAGGAAGACTTCGTGGTCCTTGCGAAGGACCGGAAATTCCTGCCGTACTACAGCGACTCGCAGAAGGAGTGGAAGGAGCCGTTCTTCTTCATCCAGGCCGCCGACACGCAGTTCGGGATGCAGGAGAAGTACGTGGAGGGCAAGAGCGGCGACTACGGCTGGGAGCAGGAGATGGCGTGGTGCCGCCAGATGATCGCCGACGTGAACGCCATGTGGCCCAAGCCCAAGTTCCTGGTGGTCTGCGGCGACATCCTGGACGCCATGCCGGACAGCGAGCCCGAGGCGCGCCGCCGCCAGGAGGTGGACTTCAAGCGCGTCTTCGCCGGACTGGACATCCCCCTGGTGTGCGTGTGCGGCAATCATGATGTCGGCAACACACCCACGCCCTCCACCGTGGCCCAGTGGCAGACCTCCTTCGGCGACGACTACTTCAGCTTCTGGTGCGGAGGCGTGTTCTTCATCGTCCTCAACTCCCAGTACTACGAGGACTCATCGCAGGCGGAGGCGCTGGCGGCCGAGCAGGAGCGCTGGCTCGAGGAGCAGCTAGAGGTGGTGAGGCGAGAGAAGCCCCAGCACGCCGTGGTATTCCAGCACATCCCGTGGTTCCTGCGCACCCCCGAGGAGGAGAAGGAGTACTTCAACATGGAGATCGGCCTCCGCTCCGCCATGCTGGAGAAGTTCCACTCTGCTGGCGTCAGGTACATCTTCTGCGGCCACTACCACCGCAACGCCGGCGGATTCTACAAGGACCTGGAAGAGGTCGTCACGTCCGCCGTCGGGGCCCAGCTGGGCGACGCCGGCCACGGCTACCGCCTGGTCCGCGTCCTCGAGGACCGCCTCAGCCACCACTACTACCGCCTCGGCACAGCGCCCACGCACATCCACCTGCCGAAGCCCTACAAGTCGGAGCCCGTCAGCAAGGGCCTGGCCAGGACCTGGTCCTTCAGCCAGGCCGCCGACGCCGTCTCCAGGGGCTGGTCTATCGGCCTGTAGACGCTCCTGCTGGGGCTGCCCTGCTGGTGCTTTTCTGCCGGCATCGCAAGCTCCGTGCTCTGTGATGACTGTGCTATTGTGTTCATCACCATTGCCATCATCATACTCATTCACTTCACTCATTTCTCTATATATCTTCACCCTCATTTGTTTCACGCTCACGAATCCTATAATGATTTGTTGATAGTTTGAAGTGAAATGTTATACTTTGTTATATGATATTTTCGTATTTGATCTAAATATATGCACACAAAAGATAAAAAGAGAGTGTGGTTAATAAATCTATTTTGACTTTTTCAGCACTTAGTATCTTTAACGGTCCTTTGGGTCTAAGATATATTTTTTAAAATAAAGGTAGAAAAAACTGAAATATGATAGGAAAAATCTTTTTTTTTTTTAGATTATGTTCATAATGTGATGATAATACAATGAAATACTTTTACCCACATCCTCCTGTAAATACATATATTTTTTTGCCCATGTCTGACTAATTTCCATATTTCAGTGTTCCCTTCCCCCTTACCCCCCTCCCTCCCTCCCTTACACCCCTTCCTTCCCCGGTCTACCTTAGTGAGTAGCGTTTTGGCCATCTACTCGGAGGAAAAACATCCGAGCTATGTTTAGCCTCCGCCCTCGCGCTCCCCCATCTTCACCTTGTCATGTCGGTGTGTGTGTATGTATGTGTGGTGTCTGCGTGTGTCTGCCGTATTTGTGTCGTGTCTGTGTGTCCTGCATCCGCTGTCTGTGTTGTGTGTGCGTGTGGTGTCTGCATCCGTGTGTGTGCGTGTGTGTCTGCATCCGTATGTGTCTGCATCCGTATTTGTGTGTGTGTGTGTGTGTGTGTGTGTGTAATCCTGTGTGTGTGTGACTCGAAAACAATTCCATAGTCCTGTAACAAAAAAAAATAGACATAGTAAACCCTTCCACATCATAGACGGTAGTATATATCCACTATGTTTGTCATAACCGGTTATGCATTTTGTTATTAGTGATTTGTATATTACTAATGACATAGATAGAAGCGTATCCGTGCGTGTGTGGTGTGCGTAGGTGTTTGTGTGTGTTGTGTGTGTGTATGTGTGCATCCCGTTTGCGTTTTTTTTTTTCACCTGAATAAGAATATGTATGCATGCGCACTAGAAATGCTGCACACGTGAATGTACGCAAGTGAGACTGCGAAATGAGCGTGTGTACTCGCAGCAATGAGTGACTGCCCTAGAAAAGGTCAAGGTCATGAATAATGTCCCTGGTAAGTGCTTTTATTTGTTTGCCGTAGCAACAGGTTTGCATGCACTCGTATCCCCTTCCGTATCGATTTTACTCGCTGGGAGAGACGAGACTGTAGATAGAGAGAACTGCTCTTATCGTACGTTGTTGCAAGAGTTGATAGCCGATTGCAGTGATAACACGAGGGTGATATTGGTCACGATAAATCTTCGGTCTCTGGTCTTTTCCGCGTGTAATGTTACTCACTTTCTTGTAGAGGTAGTGGAAAGTTTATTCTTATTTATTCTTTTTCTTTTGCGTTTTATTGCTATTTCGCTCACTTCGTTCCTTTCGTATACTTTACTTATAATTAGCGTCAATGCATATTTTTGCAGTTGCATTTGTGTAGTTGTTTTCATTAATCTCGTATTTGTTCTGTATTCTTTATTTCTTCTTCCTTCACCTCATTCCCGTTCTTTGCCTATCTATCTTTTTATTTTCATTGCCATTAGTTTTACATGCTTTTCCTCTCGAAAATAAAAAGAAAATCGAGGAAATAAAGGCAAATAAAAGACTGTAATGTTATCCTCTGGGTTTCGTAAGGGCGGGAATCTTCAAGACTCCAGTGAGGTGACGGACCTTATGCTCACGAAGATCAATACACAGGTTTCATAACAGAAAGCTTGAACCGGGAGCTGCAACAGGGAGAGGAAACCTTTGGCGCCAGGGAGAAAGAAGTGAGAAAGAAGGAAATTACGTTTCACTCTAACGAGTCTGTCTGTCGGAATGTATCTTTCTATTTATCTGTCTATTTGTCTGTCTTTCTCTTTCGTTCGTTCGTTAGCTCTCGTGTACTACATATACTCCTCTATCTATCTATCGTGTGCGTGTGTAAGAGAGAAAGGGGTCTCTCTCTCTCTCTCTCTCTCTCTCTCTCTCTCTTCTCTCTTCTCTCTCTCTCTCTCTCTCTCTCTCTCTCTCTCTCTCTCTCTCTCTCTCTCTCTCTCTCTCTCTCTCTCTCTCACTCTCTCATCTCTCTCTCTCTCTCACTCTCTCTCACTCTCTCACTCTCTCACTCTCTCTCTCTAACATTCTCACTCTCTTGCATTCTCCTCTCCCTCCCTCTCTCTCTCTCTCTCTCTCTCTCTCTCTCTCTCTCTCTCTCTCTCTCTCTCTCCTCTCCTCTCCTCTCTCTCTCTCTCTCTCTCTCTCTATCTCTCTCTCTCTCTCTCTCTCTCTCTCTCTCTCTCTCTCTCTCTTCTCTCTCTCTCTCTCTCTCTCTCTCTCTCTCTCTCTCTCTCTCTTCACACACACACACACACACACACACACACACACACACACACACACACACACACCACACACACACACACACACACACACACACACACACACCACACACACGCACACGTCCTTCTCCACGGATACCCATTGCGTTCCGATCGCTGTTACCTAAAGACCGAGACCGTTAAATGAGTCGACACTATACCACCCGTCTATAAGAGTCAGTTTTCGCCGTGCCAGGTCTCCCCAAAGCCACAGAGTATTGGGGTAGATCATGTGAGGTTTGGTATGTTGGTTCATGTTGGTTTGTTTCTTATGTTGGGGTGCGGGGAGCCTCAGAAGCCTTCCGGGGTATGATGTGGGTATGATTGGCATGTTGGGAGGAGCGGGGTGGTGATTCGTTCAATGGAATCTGATGCGGATCAATTAGGATAAGCTGGTGTAGGTCTGGCCGGTGTTTCCTTTGCGTTCCTACTGAGGTTGCTCTGTCTCTTTCTCTCTATCGTCTTTCTCTTGCTCTTTCTCTCTCTCTCTCGCTCTCCCTCCTCTCTCTCTCTCTCTCTCTCTCTCTCTTCTCTCTCTCTCTCTCTCTCTCTCTCTTCTCTCTCTCTCTCTCTCTCTCTCTCTCTCTCTCTCTCTCTCTCTCTCTCTCTCTCTCTCTCTCTCTCTCTCTCTCTCTCTCTCTTCTCTCTCTCTGTCTGTCTGTCTATCTATCCATCCATCTATCCATTTCTCTCTCTCTCTCCTTACCACCAACGACGGAGTAAGAAGAATACTAAAAAAACACACATGTTCCCCTCTGCCTCCGCTTCTGGTGGCTGTGTGAGGGAGTTCACCCCACCCCCTTTAGGCCCCCCCCGCCCCCCTTAGGCTCCCCGCTCGATATGCTCGCCTTTAAACTGTCGACTTTGGCTCTGAACCCCCGGGCGGCAACAGAAGGGAGGACCTGTACACATACACATACTCGTGCGTGCTCTCACAGTGTTCCCTGTACATTAGTTCAAGTATACTCGTACTTGTACATATATATGCGTAGGTGTGCTTATATGCGTGTATGAATGCATATACACGTGTACATGAATGCTCATAAATACATTAGATGCATGTACACATACACATACACATATATACACATTCACACACGCACGCGCGCAGACACACACACACACACACACGCACGCACACGCACCACACGCACACACACACGCATAAACACATCCCTCCGACCATACAAACGCACATACACACGCCCTGGTAACAGAAGGCAGGAGTAACAGAAAGAGCGATGACAGTGGAATAAGAGAGGAGAAAAAAACATCATATGCAAAAAAAAAGAATAGGAAAGGAGAGGAATAGGGAAGAAAGAGGAACGGGAGGAAGCAGAGCTCTGGACGAGGGGGAGGGAGAGGGGGACTGGGTGGGTGGGGGTGGCGCAAGGGGGGGAGACTGGATCCGCTAAACTGGTATGATCCGGTTATATTCCGACTAAGTTGAGTGTGTATTCCATGTCTGCTCTGTCTTTTTTACTTCCTTTTATGGTTGTGTCTTCCTCTGTCTGTCTTTGATCGCTGTCTGTCTGTCTCCCTCTTTGTCCCCTTCTTTGTCTGTCTTTTTCGTCACCGTCTGTCCGTCTTTATCTCCATCAGACTATTTATCTGTCTATCCATTTATGTCGCCATCAGTACCAGTGCCATCAAATCATGGCTTTATCATCAAATCCATATCTACCTTTTCAGAAGATTAATAATAATGATGGTCGCCATGATATGGAACACTCACCAATATCAATGATAAAAAAAATAATCAGCTCTTAATAGTATTCATACATCATTTTCATTATCATCACTACCATCACTATCATCATTATTATCATCACCACCACCACCATCATCATCATCATCATCATCATCATCATCATCATCATCATCACCATCACCATCATCATCACCACCATCACCATCATCATCATCATAATAATAACAATGGTGATAGCATAATCACATCAATATTCATGACATCAATAAAGATGATCATGCCAGCGACGGCGCGACGTGGTTCTCTCTCCTAAAGGTGAAATGTCACGCGCAGTTATGTCACAGATGTTAACCGTGTGTTGGCGTGGCTCTGTCCTTCGCAAAGGAACGTCTACGAAGGAAATGGTCATTGGAGGGGCAACGTGTTCGGAAACGTGCGTGGGTTGAACGTTTTTTTACTGTTTGGTTGAGTGGAAAAGTGGGCGTGTGTAGGGGGGGGGGGGGGTAGATGGATTGGGTGAGGTGTATTGAAAAGCAGAGGGACGAGGGGAAGAGAGAGAGAGACAGAGAGATAGAGAGACAGAGAGACAGAGGCAGAGAGTGAGTGAGAGAGAAGAGAGAGAGAGCACAGAGAAGAAAGAGAGAGAGACAATTATGTCATATTATATCATATAACTGTCTAGACATGAATCATCAAACTGCAATTCAAACCCTCAAATAAATCAGCTGCAGATCGAATCATCAATAAAGTGTCTTTGTCTCAATGAGCACATAAAATCAATCATTTTTCATGTGCATATATATGAATCATTGCGCCATACATATTGCAATATATACATTACGTCATAAATGTCAAAATAAACAAATTGCAAATAAATGAACAACATATCAACGCTTACTCACTCTTAACTAACAACAATCTGCTTCTAATCACCATTCAGAATTATGCAACTGAAAATCGGGAGTGGGGGGGGGGAGAGAGAAGAGAGGGGTGGGGGGTACAGTCTTACCCAACGTAAGCTGTGAGTGATCGAATCAAGTTTTATGAAGAGTTA